CTTGCCGAACCTGGTGGAAACTGGCGGTTGGCGCAGACCCATGGTGGAGTGTAACCTAGTAGGGCCAGCTGACGAAGGAACTAGGAGGGCTTGCAGTTCAGAACTTGCGTGCTCATTCCGAGACCTCCAGACCAGAACGATGAACTTCTGCCTGAATATCTCGGATACTCTGTAGGTGTCCAATTGCAGCAGGAGGGTACGCGCGGAGGTGTGATGCGAGAGTCCGAAAACCGCCCTTGCCGCCCGATTCTGCATGACTTGTAGCCGATCTAATTGGTTGGCAGTAAGAAGCGGGGAAAACGCATTGGATCCGTACATCAGGTCAGACATGATGATCGCTTTAAAGTAGAGAACTCGGCTCTGATGAGTCAAGCAGCGACGCAACCTCCATAGTGCTCCGATTCTCTGGGCCAGTCGAGCGGTGCAGCGATCAACATGGGGCGTCCATGACAGATCCGAGTCGAGGAGCACTCCAAGATACCTGGCCACAGTAACGACAGGAATCGGCGTTTCATGACAGTTTACATTGATCGTATGCTGGGGCTGCTGAGGCTGTCTGTTGGGGTATACAGGGATCACGTGGCTCTTGGCTGCATTCAAAATGAGACCACGGGTCTGCAACCAGTCAGCAAGTGCAGAAACCGAGGCCGATAGCGTAGCAGATACTGTGTCCAGGGATGTGCTGCTGCTGATCAGCGCAATGTCATCGGCAAATTGAACTGATGAAGACTGGTTAGCTATGGTTGGAACTTCGCGGGTGTAGATACTGAAAAGGATCGGTCCTAGAACAGAACCTTGTGGCACGCCACAGGATGGTGCAGAAATGGCACTCTGATCCCGTCCAATACAGATACGCTGAGTACGGCCCGACAGATAGGCGGAAAACCACTTTAGGGCTGTCCCTGTTATGCCGATATCGAATAGGTCCTGGAGTAGCCGTTCATGACGAACCTTGTCGAATGCCTTTGACATATCTAGAAGGCATATGCCAGTACACAAACGCTTGTCCCGTGCACTAAGAATACGATTTAGCATAAGTACCAGGGCATCCTCCGTTGAGTGGCCTGCGCGGAATGCAAACTGAGTCGTGGGGAGGGTACCAGATATGTCCAAAAACTGGGCTAGCTTCTTTTGTACGACTTTCTCCAAGAGTTTTGATAATATGGGAAGTAGGGACACTGGACGGAAGTTAGTGGGAATAGACGGGTCCCCAGCTTTGAACAGCGGGATAACGTGTGCGAGTTTGAAGGCTGTGGGGACAGTGCCATTGACAAGCGAGGCATTAAACAACGTGGCCACGGACGCAGCTAGGATATCGGCACAGCACTTCAGAAGGTGACCAGGTATCCCGTCGCTTCCTGTTGCTTTGGCAGGATTGATTTGTCGGAGAAGCCGTTCTACTTCGCCAAAAGACACTTGCGGCAATTCTGACATTGCCGTCTGAGGCTGTGGACCTTGCGGTAGCGGGATGCTGTGAGGACGGGCATTGTCTGTTACTACTGCCTGGAAGACTGACGAAACTTCTTCAATGGGGCAAGTAGGCTCCACACGTACTCTCTTCCTGTTCGTAACGGAGTTTATGACGTTCCAGAGCTTACGCGGGTTCTGACTGGACGCGGCACATTGCGCTCGGAAGAAATCGTTGCGCTTTCGGCGATAGGCATTTCTGGCGCTTGAGCGTGCTTGCTTGAACTGTACGTGAAGATTCTGGTTTCCCTTATCGCGTAGCCACCGTCGGTGTAGCTGGTTTTTACGTTGGTTGAGCTTGTGGAGCTCTCTGTCGGACCAGGGCGGATGGGAGTTGCGGTTGGAGGATACATAGCGGATGGGTGCATGCTTGTCCACGACAGCCAAGAACTTGGTGTGCCACGACGCCCACATGGTGTCCACATCCCGCGTGTTAGTAAAATCATCCAGCCCTGCGGAGCTGACATCCCGACGGAATTCACAGAGGTTCACCGACCGAGTATTTCTCTGAGCTCGGACCCGCTCTACTGCCTGAGGTGACACGCTGCGAGAAACCTGAAGGTGCAGGTTAGCCTCAATCCCAAAGTGGTCGCTAATGGTCAAAGGCAGGACGTGGCACTCACTGATGTCTTGACTAGCTGAAAGAATGAGATCGATAGTTGTACCTGATGGGCACGCCGGTGAGATACGAGTCGGAGCACGAACGTGATTAGTGAGGCCGTAGCAGTTGCAAAGTTCGAGAAATTTCCGGGCGATAGGACAAGGTGGGTAGGGGGTTGAAACATTAACGTTAAAATCGCCAATGACTGTGATGCTTCGGTTGTCCACGAAAGCCCTGTGCAGCTGCTCTTCAAAATTCTGCCAGTACAAGATGGGCTCGTCAGGTGGCCGGTAAAAGCACCCAACTAGTTGTCGCCTTCGTCGCCCTTTGACTTCGATCCAGGACGATTCAATGTTAGCGTCGGAAAGCTCTGGGCGCGGTTTTACCTGGAGTCCGGAACGGAAATAAAAGCATACACCGCCACCTCTGCGCACTGGACGATCGTGCCGTATCACACAGTAACCTGGTATATCAATATCACTGTCTGACGTTGTGCTGTCAAGCCAGGTTTCTGCGACGCCAAATATGTCGAAGTTGTGTTGCTGTAGGATATCGGCGACCTCAGCTACTTTGTTTCGAAGACTACAAACATTCAAAAAGCCCAGTCTTATGAAGGACTGTGTCAGTGGGGTAAGGCGGTGAGCAGGGGCAGAACTGAGGTTATTCTGGGTACAAGAGCCATGAGCACTGGGACCTGGGATGCCAGCGCCAGCCCCAGGGGAGAGATGTTGACTGTGTACACTACTAGTAGTTAACTTGGAGGGGGAAAAGCTGGGTGCTAAGGGATTAAGAGACGCCATTAACATTTAAAAAAGATACAGCTAAAGAAATTGTGTTCTGATGATCTATCATTACTAGGGAAGAAGGGATCAGCATGGGGATTAAGAGCAAGTGCAGTAAGTATTAACCGTAATTACCTTCATTGCACTAGTGGCTTCCTCTGCGGGCAGCTTCAACTCTCTCTGCCAGCTTCTTGCGCTCACGGTTTGAACACTCCTTAGCCCACGCAATTTGCGGGTCGTTCAAGGCAGAGGCAGGTGGCTCAGTGCGCCCTGATAGGACAGTGGCGGAGAAGGTGTGTTTGCCTGCTGCCAGTCTGAAGCCATCGTCATCAGGAGAGGGGGCTGTCCCGCTGCTCTTTTCTTTGTCTCCAGGTTGGCTGAAAGCGGGCACATGGTTACTGGTATCAGTTGTGCCAGTGCTGGTCCCATTGGCTAAAAGTGCCTGGCGATAGCTGTTGACTGAGGCAGTGTTCAGCCCTGTGTTGCTAGCTGCACCTGTCTCCACACTGACGACAGCTGGCTCTACAGCGGCTTCTGTGGGCTGGGTAGTCACCGTACCCGTATCAGTGGCTGTACTGACGCTGGGAGGGTTTGTACTCGTACCGGTTGTGTTGCGGTGCTGTGCTTGTGGAAGCCGGGAAGCTGTAGACTGTGCCCCACGGTTGGGACATGCTTTAGCCTCGTGGTCACTGTTGTTGCAGCGCCAACATGTTTGCTGTTGGCCACGGTGCCATACTCGCAGTTTCAACTGACCTACGGTAACCGTAGATGGAACTGGTGATCGGAGGACCAGGCTGAGAACACGGGTGCCAGTGCTTATTTCCAATCCCTCAAACAATACTTTTTTCTGTTGAGGCGACCCAACAATTCGGCCGAACTGGCCCAGCGCAGCACACAATTTACTGTTTTGAAGCCCGACAGGGCACCCAAACACATGCAGATGGGTTAAGTCCACCCCGGAAATCTCGCAGAGCACCTGCTTACCGGAAATCCGGATTCCTGCGTCCAGTATCTTTTCCCGCTCAGCAGAACTCTTCACTGTAACAACGCAATGACCAGGCTTGCCCTGAAGGTCCACCTGGCAGACCTGACTTATATCTACCTTACTCTGCTTGAGCGCCTTGGCGTAAAACAAGTGGTCTGCAGACCAGTCCTTCTCAATCCTAAAAGAAAAGGAGGCCGGAGCAGGAGCTCCAAAACTGCCAACCGTCTCCATCGTACACACAGTCATGTGCTGATGTAGCTCCGTTGCTCGAAGGGTTGGCGGTAAGAATTGCTACGCCGTCTGTGGCTGCATGGGAACTTGGCGAGTCGTCGTCTTTCTCCATAAATCCTGATGGTCACGCGAACAACAGCCACTATTGGCATTATTGCCTAAAACTACGACGCAACAGATCAAGCTCGCCCCATCAGAAGGACACGAATGACGAGCGCTAAGACGGAGAAAGAGAGACAGGGTTAGCGAGAGCTGACTACGTGGTGCAGGTACGCTGTCATCTCCTGAGGTGGTGGGCCAAGCAGCGAAGTGAAACGAAGGAAGATAGAAGGCATACGGAGGCACCAAAACCTATTGCCTGTCAGTACATACTAAGTGCCATTTAGCGTTGACAGCCTCAAAAATTTGAAAATCTGCTCAAAAACTCTCGATCAAAGTTCTGCGCACTCTCAAATGGAGCGCACAGTAAAAAACTCGGCGACGAAGAACGCTTCGTATCGACGCCCTGGACTCGGTCCAACCAGGGAGTAGTACAATACCGTGGTATTGTACTTCTCCCTGCGTCCAACAAACGGAATAGTGTTCTCTGATATTCTCTACGTGCTGGGTTAGTGGGTATGGTCGAAGAAGAACTTCCAAAAGCCTCACTACAGAGCTACAGCTTTCGTAGGATCTAGGACAGTAGGCCAGGAGCCAAGAGGAGAGCGTCACTTCCTCAACCGAACTCGTTCTGATACATGTACATAGTCATTGTACATGTATCATGATGTGCAATCATCAGAATAATGATCATGATCTCGAATAATGCAACAAAATTATGGCGCGAAACACGAGCTTTCACTTTCAGCTCTTATGACGTCGACGTGCATGCACATAATCATTATGCGCATCATGATCACGACGTCGCCGACCATTTCAAGAATGCAAAAAAACTTTGAAGACAGAACAACCGACAAGGCACGAACTGGACGCTTTTGGTGGACTTGGGCACTGCTGCACACCGGGTGAAATGGAGGGACAGGATTCTACTTGTGCTTCTGGACTACTAGTACCCATCTTGGGAAGTGTTCATCGTCCTTGAGAAATTGAATGGCCTGAAAATTGCCAATTTCCAACACCAAAGAGCGAAAGAAAAAAATGGAACATGAGGGTCACGTCGCGGCTGTCGGTGAGAAAATGAAGAAAGCGAAGCAGAAGCGCAAGCGCAAGACTGCGCCGTCGCCAGATGGCGATGATAGCTCTGCTCTGGATGACCGCTGGGAAGAGTTCCGTCAGCGTTGCAGTCTGTCAGCCATGAATGTGAAAAGCATTCTGAAGGTACATGCACGAGGTGCAATTTCAAAATGTTTGTTTGCGTTCATATCTGAAGAATTCCAGAATTCGTGCATATGCATCTCTTCCATCCCTGTACAATCTAGTGTCTATACACAGTCACTCAGTCACGTTATGACGTCTATACAGTCAACTTCGCTAATAACGACTGCGGATATAACGAAAATTCGCGAATAACGACAGAATTCCCATGCCCAGAGCAAAGTCCCATCCCACTGTAATACATAATTTATAATGAGACTTCGGGTATAACGACACTTCGCGAATAAGGACACCTTTTTGATGCCTCGCCGAGTGTCGTTATAAGCAACGTTGACTGTACACAGTCACGTGATGACGTCTATACAGTGACTACAGTGACGCTATGACATGGTTTGTGCTTTGTTACCTATACCGTTATTGGTCCCTTTGTACAGCCGTCTCATTGCTCCTATATCATCTGTGTGTGTGTGTGCGCGTGCACGTGTGTGTGCACGTGCGCTTGTGTGCACTTGCACGTGTGTGTGCGCGTGTGTGCACATGTGTGTTTGTGCACGTGTGTGTGTGTGTGTGTGTTTGTGTGTGGGTGCGCGCGTGTGTGTACATGTGTGTGTGTATGTGGGTGTGTCTGTGGGTGTCTGTGTGTGTGTGTACGTGCATTATGTGTGTGTGTGTACGTGCGTGTATCATGTGTGTGTGCGTGTGTACGTGTGTGTGCATGTGTGTGCATTGGTCTCTCGGTCTGCATGTACGACGTATATGTACATGATTGTTACACATGGTTCTTGCAGCATGTCCTGGGAGATGAGCGCGTCGTCTCCATGGCTCTCAAGGCCGCAGCTGCCGTACCCTCGTCGGCGACGGCGGGGAATTCCCCAGTGTACGACGACACCGATGACTCGCCACCTCAATTGCAGACCCCGGTCCCATCGCCATCGGTTACCGGCGCTGCCGCCCAATCACCTCTTCCTTCTGTCGGTGTTGCCCAGTCAGCTTGCGCTGCAGCTTCGCTCTCTTCGCTCGACACCCCTGCTGCTACCCCTGCTACTACTGGTGCGTCCACTGCTCTGTCCACTCCTACGCCTAGTGCTGCTGTCGCTAGCGTACCTGCGACTTCTGGCGCTCCACTGTCGTCAAAGTTTGCAGACGAGTTGCCGCTGGTAAGGCTCTTTGTCTGTGTGTGATTCTGTTCCGTGTGTTTGTCCACGCGCCCTTGTTCATAGATGCATGGTTTTTGATACATGTAGTTGCATGTATGACGTGTTTGCATGTGTGTATGTGTGTGTGTCGCGGGGGGGGGGTGTGTGTGTGTGTGTGTGTGTGTGTGTGTGTGTGTGTGTGTGTGTGTGTGTGTGTGTGTGTGTGTGTGTGTGTGTGTGTGTGTGATCCACGTATGCTCTGAGTATGCCCCAAGACAGACCGTATTTATACTGATGCAGAAAAGCAAGAGGAACAGTATGGTAGAACTCTGGGTTGCAACAGGCTATTCCCCTCACCGTTCCCCCCCCCCTCTCTCTCTCTCTCTCTCTCTCTCTCTCTCTCTCTCTCTCTCTCTCTTTCTCTCTATCTATGTTAATTTAATATGTTTCATTTCAGGAGCCGAAACTGACACGGTCGAAAGCGAAAGGCCAACCCTTTCACCTCCTCACGAATGCCTGCCAGATCAATGTACGCTCAGGTTTGATTTTCATTCCGTTTTGTGGAGAACCGGCTGGGTTTTGGTTGCTTCTGTCGCGTGTTGCCATACTTACTGTTATCAGAACTTGAATACCCTGCACATTTGGAGAAGAAACAGGGTTTTTTTCCGCCATGGTTATTTCCTAAAGTTGGTTAGATTTAGATTGCTTTCATGTTGTTTTGTAATGTTCACGGGAACAACTACTTAGTATGGCCTAAGTTTGAACCAGGTTTTTGTATTGTATCATTTACTCAATCTGCGGACAGAACTGTTTCGTCCTTTGTGGATTCACAATTGTATCATTTACAAAAATTATATCATTGTACCATTTACGAAAAAATGCCTGATTTATGGATCGGGCCAGTTAGATTTGAGCTCGCACGATGTTGGTCGGTTCTCCTTCTTAGGTGATGAACGGGTGACAGATCTGATTTCTGATGTCTGTTCATGTATGTCCCTACTCAGCGCATACCGGATCACTTTAAAAGAACTTTTTTTCTTGCCGCTATCCCAGGCCAATGTCTGAAGTCAGTTGCTTTTCTCCCTGTACATTGTCGTGTGTTTGTTTTGCCCAGGGACGCTTCCAAACCTACATACCAATAGTGAGTATTTCTGTATGCTTGGCATTAGCCACACATCATGTCGTATGGTCCCCTTTACCTGCTTGCGCCTATGGCCGGGATCATTTGGTCGGATCCAGATGCATAGGATCCATTCGATTTGCAGCGGGGAGCTTTTTTACTCTTACTGTAACGTATATAGAGATCAATAACGCTGAATGCGCAGTCATAAGTATCGCTCTGCCAACAGCCACAAATGGACATTTGCGGTTAATTTAATTACTTGGTCCGGCTCATCGCAATTGTCGCTTATTTCCCACGCACTTTTTGACAGGTAAAACCCAGTCCAATCACGATATCTAACTTACTTTTGCTTGGGAGGTTGTGATGGCAAGATCAAATGAAGAGAATTGGTGAGCACACATGCTCATTCCCTGGGCACTGCAAATTCACAACTCATTTCATTTCACATAATCATTTTCAAAAAAAATGATTATGTGAAATGAAATGAGTTGTGAATTTGCAGTGCCCAGGGAATGAGCATGTGTGCTCACCAATTCTCTTCGAGTTATGAAGCTGCAGGATGCCTCACCGCTACTAAGATCAAATGAGGCACCAAAGAAGAAATAATCGCGACTAGCGCTTTGAATCACGATGTGCTCGACTTTTTTGGGAAGTGGAAATCTGGCCATTCACTGTCTGTGTTGCCAAAAAAGCCAGAGCAGAAGACAGGAACTGTAGCAGGGGCAACTGACATCCTGGAGAGCGTGACAGGCATGCGTGTGCACGGCCAAGGAGTATGAGCATCATGCTGAAAAGGTTGTTCCTTTTGTTCCTTCGTGGACCTGGCAGCAGCATTACAAGAGTCGTGGTCAGTGTATCCAGTGGAGCGTATGACAGCTGTCTGGAGAGGCCTGTATGCCTCATTCTGAAACACACTGTGGTGACACACAGGTCACACTGCCCAGGTTCCTTCAAGCACCGAAGTGACAGACACAACTGTTCCTTTTCCATTGCTGCCATACGACAGGCTGACAAAGCAAGAGATGCTCTACCGTAACAGTCTACTCCAGCAGCTAGACACCAGCAATGTCAGCTCATGTAATGGCAGCAGCTCGAGTGATGGAGTGTTGAATGAACAGTCTGGACCTGTAGGAGTGTGAGTGCAAGAACTCGCTCCTTCGCTGATTTATTTCGTGCATTTTGCTTACCTTGCTTCCCTTCTATGACTCGCTTCACCTGATTCCATGGCTGAATTTTGTTTCTTGTGGCGGAGAGTATTCATGTATCATGTTTCCTCACTATGCCTATTGAAAATTTCACAGAGCGGCAACAAAACTCCTGTTCTTAGTGGCGATAGATAAGCGACAATTGCGATGAGCCGGACCAAGTACATGTATATTGTTCCATAACGAACGTTTTCATGTGCCCATCATCAGCAGAAATATAGTCACTAAGGGGTCGTCCATAAAATTAATATCGAACTTTTTTTCACAAAACGAAATGATTTCGTTATGGGGTGGGAGGGGGTTGACCAATTTCGTTTCAGAAAACATTGATTCATGTACACGGCCGTTGTATATGCATGTATGTCAACATTTTTTACGTTCTGAGGGGGAGGGAGGGAGGGGTTGGGTCTAAACTAAAATAATTCGTTTGGTGAAAAAAGTTCGATATTTACGGACGGCCCCTTCTAAGTGAATCTCAAAGATAAATACAGTCGTATAGAGCAAATGAGGCTGAACGATTTTTGTCTCCTGCTGGACTTGCTATAACTTATAACCACAATACTAGAAAAGCTGACAGAATCGCTTTTCAATATGGTTTGATGACTTTTCTCATGCAGTCCATAATTTCCCCCTTGTCACTGAATCACGTCCCTCAAACTTGTGTGAATTTTCCCTAAACGAATCCTCTCGTTTTCGCTTCACTGTGTGTGTTGTGCTCCAGCAAGCGCCACCCAGTGTTCTGACAGCGGAGTTCTCCGACGATTCAGACGAGGAGTACAAACCGGCACCACCATCATCCAGCTCGCCTCGTAAAAGACATGGGTCACCGCGCAAGAAAACTGCGGCACAGCCACCGTCTGCTCTGGTAAGCTCTGCTTAAAATTCTCCCACATCGGGTAATCTTTTGTTATTGAAAGCGAAAAGGCAGGGTCCACAATGACGAACTGCCTATTTGAAAAAGCTGTAGAATGAAATGGTTGTTGCCCTGTATTTTTTTCTATTTTTTTATAGAACTGCAACGCACCCATCTTGTCCAAAAAAATGTTTGTGGACCTTGTTCGAGGATTCTGTTAACTTAATGTTGCAGAAGCTTCACAGCAAGGAAGTCCTTCAGTGTGTTTGTTGTAGAGTGCAGGAGTCGTATCTCGTGTGAGACGTTTTTTCTGATTTGTGGGAAAGCTACCACTCGCAAGGATCAAGGCACAGATTGAATTTCCAAATTGTCTAAAATAGGTACGGTGGGCACACATTTCAGAACCTTAGTAACGTGAAGTGCTATGTAGATGGCCTTTTTTACCGGTTTTGGTCTCGTCGGTCTGCGCTTACCAACACCAGTCTGCGTTCCTCTGTGTTCTTGTTTGTGGCGGCAGGTCACGTCCGTGCCGGGAGCTAGCGATGGCCAATCCCTCGGTCTGCCCGACAGACGGCTGAGCGACAATGAAGGTAATGACGGCTTGCAGTCCGTGCGATCACCTGTTTCCCCATCGACCGTGTTTTCAGACTCGGGATCGTCATCGTCCAGTTCGTCCGGTTCTGATACTGACTCCGACTCGTCCGGTGTGACTTCGTCGTCGGAATCCGAACCCGACTGGGATGACGTCGTCTTGCAGGTATGTAGGCTCATGCTGGCACCTAGGCTGTGGGCTGTGTCGTCTACAGGGCCAGGCAGTGAGTGTGTGTGTGTACGTGTGTGTGTGTGTGTGTGTGTGTGTGTGTGTGTGTGCATGCGTGCGTGTGTGGCTGTCCTTGCTGCGAGAATGTTAGTGTTCTACACTGGAGGTCGGTGCTGTATTTCTTTCGTGAGTGCTTTAGATCATTGTCAACAAGGCTAGGGTATCAAAGAAATTGAAAGAATTGATAGTCGTGTAGTAACGTTAGAAGTTGACTCTAGGTTTTTGCATACTGTAAAACTGGAAAGTTTAACGACCAAAAAGTTTAACGTTTTTGTAATTTTGGCATGATAACGTGCAGAGCGTTTAACGATTGTTACCTGGCTACCCATCTGTATGCGCATCTTTACACAGACATCTCAAACCGGGTTCACGATGACGTTTCTTCAAATAACGAAAACAAATTGGTGGTTAAAACGTTAGACTTTGTGAGTCGCTGGACTTTCCCGTTTTACAGTATTGTGCGTGTAGCAGTGTTAACCCTTTATGTACCAGCCATCTAATGTATGTAAAGGGCTATCGCAGCCAAAGAAGCAACCATGGGATCAAATCTAGACAACTTTTGTATATGCAAGTTTTGTTTTCCTGACTCCATATGTATCACTGCACCCAGGTAAGCATGGATATTGGTACAGCATGCAGTAGTATATGAAGGCCATAGGTGGAATACCAAAGATACGCGCCAATTGTGCGTATTTCTGACCAACCAGGGTATCACAAACAAATAGACTGAGAATTAGTTTGTGCTCGTGTACTGGGAACATAGGGACAAAACAACCTCATAAGCGTTGTCTCAGTGCATGAAGAGTAACAACATACCAGGGAAATGGTCATATTTTCACACATTTGAGGTAAAACAATTGGTTCAAAATTGCAAATTTTGAATTCTTGTCTCAGATTCGAAATCTATATTTTTCTTCATCTACTCACATCCAGCGTCAGGTAAGTGAAAGAGAAGACAAGAAGCAGTCGCTGGCTGGTGAATTACGCCTGCCTTGACGATTTTAGGCCATCGCTGCCCTCCCTCTCGCTCCTGTTTTGAGAGCGAATACTACGATGGGATCAGCGATACAAATTTTCAATTTCGAGTCGCATTCCGCGATGATATCGCCACAGCCGATCTCTCCAATCGTCCACCACGTCTAGAAGACGTCGACATGACCTAGAACAAGCTACATCTTCGCTACAAGCAGAGAAACTGAGCGAGAACACGATCGAAACAGCGACAATTGTTTGCGCTGAAAAGCATACTTTTGAACGCGTTCGTTCTCCATACTTTCAAATGGCAACCTACCCATATCATACATCAAAATTTTCAGTGGGATCTTAGCTGTCAAGCGCAAAAAACCGCGGGTCGATCGGAGCTACGGCGGCGGGGAACGGCGCGCTTGATTGGAGTGCAGCGAACCGTACCATATGGTACGGTTCGAGATGGGGCTGGTACACAAAGGGTTAAGCTGCTGGTTTCCCTTGCCTGTGTTTGTCCTGGTGTGCTCATGTGCGTGTGTATGTCTGTTTGTTTGTCTGTGTGTTTGTCCTTGTGCGCTCATGTGGGTGTGTATGTATGTATGTATGTGTGTGTGTCTGTTTGTATGTCTGTGTGTATGTCTGTTTGTATGTCTGTTTGTATGTCTGTGTGTATGTCTGTGTGTATGTATGTTTGTCCCGCCGCTTCCACTCCCCTGTTGCCTCTCCTATGGCCTAGCGCCTTGGCCCGCGCCAGCTTTCTTCCCAGACCTTACGCCATCAGATTTAGCGCTAAATTTGGATATGCTTGTGGTCCTATGTGTTGATAAGCATACTGCTGGGTAGATCCGAGTATCAGTTGTCTGATGATTGCCAAGCGGCATGAAACTCAGAGTTGCAACCAACCTGAACGTCCTCCGCTGAGTCTACTATGTACTAAGCTCTGCCTCTGGCATTTGAGCACTCTCTGCAGCTTGGGGATCAACGGGTTTGTCTGTTTGTCTTTCCGTATGTCCGTCTGTCTGTACGTGTGTGCGTTTTCTGTGTATGTATGCGGATACATCACTCCATGAACTACTGTACCGTGTGTGTATGCGTGCGCAACGCAGTTTGGTGGTGTGAGTGGTTCACGACCGCCGCCATCCCCGCGTACTCGGGGAGAAGTGAGCCCCAGCACTGACGTTACCCAAACACCCGGCGGTGATCGCGTTCAGCCGGTGTCAACTCCACTCAGGTATGTGTGCGTGCGTGCGTGCGTGCGTGTGTGTGGAGGGGGTTGTCTTCTATTCACGACTTTCCTTGTTCACCTTTTCAACGTTTTAGCAATCTTACTGAAACTATTTGGATGTTTTGTCATCAGTGTTGGCAGTATTGCTTCTGATGCTGTATATTTCTGTGAGCATAGGGCAGCATGCGTGCGTGTGTGTCTGTGTGTCTGTCCGTGTGTCTGTCCGTGTGTCTGTCTGTGTGTCTGTCTGTCTGTGTGTCTGTGTGTCTGTCTGTGTCTGTCTGTCTGTCTGTCTGTCTGTCTGTCTGTGTGTGCGTTCGCATAAGCCTTGATGCAATATGATAATTTGTCTCTGTGTGTGCGTGTGTGTGTGCGTGCGCGCGTGTGCGTGTGTATGTGGGTCTGTGTGTGTGTGTGTGTGTGTGTGTGTGTGTGTGTGTGTGTGTGTGTGTGTGCGTGTATGTGTGTGTGTGTGTGTGTGTGTGTGTGTGTGTGTGTGTGTGTGCGTGTGTGTGTGTGCGTGTGTGTGTGTGTGCACACGTGTCCGTACATGTCCCTGTTTGTCCGCTTTTCCTCGACTAGGTCTTCATCAGCCACACCCGCTATCGTCGTCTCAAGCGCATGGTCTTCGGAAACCCTGACGAACAGGAGCAGTCAGCATTCGTCAACAGCACAGGCAACTGCAATGCCGGCAGCAGCACTCGGACAAGATGTCATTGTCTTGGACGAGGGGCAAGGTACACCGCGCAGCGACAGTGCAGAGCCCATGTTGCCTGCCGATGAATCTTCTTTGACTGCCGTGGATCTGTTCCGGTCGGGCAGTATCATGGTAAGACGCAGGAGGGCAGGAGGGGATTGGCAAGTTTGGAACTTTCAAAACAGTGTGCAATGCCATGCGACTGCTGGAAACCTCACCAATCCCTAACCCCTGCCACTTTGCTTTGGTTGGTATGGAGTTCTCAGGAGGCGTTTTAAAAGAATCTCGACACTGTGCTTTAAATTTTGTCGTCACAAAATACAGGCATCTACCCTGTCTATCACCGTTCATTTGACCATAGTATAAGCGGGGTAAAGTCGCACTGACTTTTTTTGTGTGAATCATGAGTGTTTAAAGTGCTGCTTATACAGTCAACTTCGCTAACAACGACTACGGATATAACGACAATTCGCGAATAACGACAGAATTTCCATGCCCAGAGCAAAGTCCCATCTAACTGTAATACATTATAATGAGACTGGGTATAAGGACACGTTTCTGATGCCCCGCCGAGTATCGTTATACGCAAAGTTGGCTGTACTCCGGAAAACATAATAGCCTTCATGTACTGGCAATTGCACCGTATTTTTCGTTTCATTTTCCGCTCTTTTTTTCCAATGTCTTCTCGTAGGATCCGTGGTCCCCGAGCATGGTCGATGTGAGTGACTCCGTTGCCAGGCGCACACGATCGCGTTTGCCGCTGACCAACGTGGAGATTGAACAGCTGGAAGCGGCGCAGCTGCCGGACGAAGTGCACAGCAGCCCTCCCACCGAGCCTGCCAACTATTCCAAGGGCCTGGACGAGAGCTTTGATCCGGAGGACGATGCCTTCACCTCCTGGTTATCGGCTTTGATGAAAGATGGTGAGAGAGCTTGCTACTGTATCTTGGCTAGCCAATTTTAAGACTCACAGTTGAGTGGGCAGCATATGTGTGTGTGTGTGTGTGTGGAGGTGGGGGCATTCAACATCAGCGCCACGTGGTGCTGGCGTGATCAGTGAAAACTCTATTTCAGCCAATCGCCGGGCTGGGAATTTTTAGTATTTTTCGAATCTTCTATCGATTCATTCTAAAGATCGATTTACCAGAGAGCCATGACATTTTCAGGGAGGATTCCTTGCCTAAAGGACTACATGATTACCGAACGATTTTTTTCAAATCCGTGCTCTGAGACCCAAGAACGGGATTTTGTGGAATTTTGTCCCTTGATGGGACAAACATCTGTGGGAAGCAATGACACAAGCTCTGTGAAAACCAAAAATATGGCTCGGTAATTCTCTGGCCAGTTCCCTCAAGAAAATGTTGAGCCATAAATCGTCAAAATCGGAGCAACCATTGTAGGGTTCTTACATTTTGAAGTGCGCAAGGTCAAGAAGAAGACCGTGCGCAAGCTGACATGAGCGAAAATGGCAACTCAAGAAAAAGAAGAAGAATTTGAACAGTACACGTACGACACCAGCACAAAGCAGTTGACTGTTTTTAGCTTACAAATGTAGAGTGAACTAGAGATTAGTTGTAGTGCTTGCCTGGCCAACTACTCGTCCAGTTCTGCAGCTGGGGGTTGCTCAGGTTGCGCTGGGGATTGCGGAATGTTCGTAGCTGGAAAGCTGCGCTCAGCTGCCAACTGCGCTGTTTGCTTCTTGGACGCGATGTGCTTCACACCATGCTCCCGACCTTTCTTACTCCAGCTGAAGCACTCTACTGGCGGACTCTTCTCGACACCGATGGCGAGACGACGCATCGCTGTCGACCTCGGCAGCGGCCAGGGTTCTCGTGTCCGATTGAGTTCTCACTGATTTGAGAGCAGATCGTGCCTCTGCCACTTGCTGATCAGTTACGCTAGTGCTATATTTCTTCATGGAGGAGATAAATGTGCCGATGGTTGCGTTCGTTGTCCTGGCAACAGATTGTCTGCCGTGCAGGATGTTCTGTGCGAACAGTTGCGTTGCTTGCTGACTGACCTCGGACTCATTGGCACTCAAGTATATGTTTGCGAGGTTGAACTGCCTCTCGGCTAATACGTTATGGACTGGCAGACCAACGATGTGGTGGCAATGCCAGGCCCGTGCGTGTGACGGCAAAGATGGAGTGCTACTGCAGCCTTCTGATTGCTTAGCATGCACGCAGTTTTCAGGAATCGAACCTCCGCCGTGAAGCGTGCACTGTGTCCCTTCTGTCCTTGTAGCTTTGCAGTTTTCACCACTGGAGATCGTGCCGACTGTGGAGGGTGATCAAGTGCTCGTTTTGCCCGCTTGCTTTTCGTCTGTGAAATCCTGATGGCACGGAATTCCAGTGTTTGTTACTGCATTCTGAGCTGCTGCTGCTGGCATTTCTGCTCCATTATCTTCAGTAGCTGCTGCAGCTCGCTTTTTCCCTTCTCCAGGGCCTCCATGTCGTCTCGACTGCATGCAGTTGCTTCATTCTTTGTTGCTTCACTACTTGTTTGGACAGGTGATGTTGGAATACTATGCGGTGTATCAGTTGGATTTGCTGCACTGGGGTCATCCTTCTCCGGGGCTTTGATATCATCTTTGCTGCACACGGCGGGTTCATTCTGTGTCGTTTCCCCAATTGTTTGGAGAGGTGATGGGTCCGCGCTAAGTGGTATATCGGCTATGCTTCCTGCACTTGGAGCACCCACTGCCTGAACCTAGAAAAGTGAGGCGCTGCCGGGGGATTAAATCGCCGGTGAATGCCTTGACTGGCCATAGACGCAGTCACTTGGCTGCAATTCAGAGCTTTGACTGCTTCTCGAAGCTCACGCTCTCCAGCAACAATGTTTGTCCCATTGGCGGACACAACTTCTGTCGGCACTCCACGGCGTTTGCAGAATCTTGTGAATGCCAACAAGAACGAATCCGTATCCATACCGTATGCCATCTCCAGGTGGCAGGCTCTTGACCGCAGGCGCATGAACACACAGACATAGCGCTTGAGCTGACTCTTCCCACGACCTTGCTTAGTCAGAAATGGGCCGGCATTATCTATTCCCACTCTAGAAAACGCACGGTACGGCGGAGCTGTACGAAACAGAGGCAGCGAGCCATCTTCTGCAACGCTGCCGCTGCTCATTTCCTACGGCAGGAGACACAATGAGCACGATGCGAGTGCGTTACAACTTCCCCACGCACTATCCAGAATCGCTGCATCCGATTAGCCAGTAGATGATTCGGACCAACACTATGACCGCACTTGTGATCCTCGTCCGCTACAATCAACTGCATGATCCGGTGTTGCTGTGGTAAGATGATGGGGTGCCGTGAGTATTCTGGCAGATGACTAGCAGTCTTGAGGCGTCCGCTGACACGTAGAACTTGCGGCTAATCCTTCTCCACCACAGTTTGCAGTCGCGATAGCGGATCAGTAGCTGCCAGACATGTAAAACGAAGACAAACACTAACAAACGGAGAACGTTGCAACATTTTATCCTTCTCCTTTTTCACCATAATCTACACTTCACTTCTTTTTTTACTCTGAAACCTGATGTTGATATCATCATGGCATGAGCATATTAAAAAGTAGTATTACTTCAAGGAATTGCAAAAAAAGCATTCGACCTGCAGACTTACCTTGCCATCAAGTCGCCCATCCATCTCAGCACGAGCCACGCGCCCAACAGGAACATTTTCCTGGGGTAATCCAGCACAAGTCATCGGTTTAGGTTTCGTTGCCGACCCGAAGTGGCCCTGGTACCTTGTTTTTTTTTGCAACGGTAATCCACCCCTGCGTTGCCCTTTGCACACCTAAGCTCAAACTCAAAGGGGAAATCAGGGAGGGTTACCTGTCCCTTGTCCTTGAGGCCAGAAAAGTCCAAAAACAGGGAAATAGAAATTCAGCCAGGTTTTACAAAATTAGGACAGGTATGCCATGGCAAAATGTATGGAGAAGCAGATCCCAAGCCCAGATTTTTTAAAGATTTAGATTAGGGTTTTGATCCGCCCGAATCGGACTTTCAAAAGCCAGTGGGACTGTTTCCGATGAATGGACTGTAAAGCGACCGAGATAGCTGCCAATCCACGTCAGTGCTACTCCTACCCGAGAAGCCAAGATCGAGACACAGACAAGTCTCCCACACACAGCGCATGGATGTCTGATCTCGACTCTAAAAGTAGAGATCCTTTCTCCTGAGAGGAAAAAAAGAAACCAAGCAAAAGCGCGAATCAAAATCTTCGCTTGGATGAGCGCGGTCGAAAGAATCTCCACTGAAGTGGCTCACGTGCGCGCTGCGTGACAGCTTGTCACGAATTAAAATGGCCGCCATGTCGCGGCCCGACTGCCGTACGAACTGTGAGCCCTAAATTTGAATATTTTCTGGGTGTTATTTTTGGTACAGTTGAACATCGATTATCCGCACATCGACTATCCGACCATTCGATTATCCGTAACAGTTTTTTTGGGCGCACGTGCCGTAGAGTACGCACTGTGCATGTAGTGAGCCATTCAAAAAATACGAAAATTTTGAAAAGTAAAAAGTAAAAAGGTCGTGCGGCTAGTAATAACCACTGAAAGTGTGTGAGTGACAGTTTTTTCTTATCCGGAACATTTGCCTTATCTGAACACCGCCTGACAGTTGTCTGCCCAGAGGTGGTCGGATAATCGATGTTCAACTGTAGTATCATTTTGCTTTCCCTTTCATCCTCTATGTTCAATATATCCATAGCTTTGTGGGGTTTTCTTCATTGTTTTGAATGCTGTGTTTGATGCCCTGTGTAATCGTTATTTGTGTACGTGCATGTGTGTGTGTGTGTGTGTGTGTGTGTGTGTGTGTGTGTGCGCGTGCGTGTGTGTGTGTGTGTGTGTGTGTGTGTGTGTGTGCGCGCGCGCGTGTGCGTGCGCGCGTGTGTGTGTGTGGGGGGGGTGCATATGTGTGTGCATATGTGTGTGCACGTGGGTGTGCGTGTGTGTGTATGTGTGTGCATATGCGTGTGCCGTGCTGTGCCGTGCGCATGGCTGTTTGTTTGTGTTAAAGATGTACTGCCGGATGAGGAAGAAGAGGACACAGAGTACAACTACATAGCTGACGAGCAACACCAAAAGTTTGAGGAAGAGTTCCGCAAGGACAAGGCAGTCAAGGTGTCCGGTACGTAGCGCCCAGATCTAGAACAGGGGCGTAGTCTAAAGTGTTGCGCTACTCCGGAGAAGCTGTTGTTTGTCATTTTGGAGTCATTCGAACGAATTCAAAACGACCCTTGATCGGGCGTGAGACAAGTGTCTTTATTCACGAATTGTCGTTATTGTACTGTTCTTATTGTGTGCTGCTGCGTTCATTGTCATAATTGTTACTGTTGCTGCTGCTGCTACTGCTACTGCTGCTGCTGCTGGTGTTGGTGGTGCTGCTGCTGCTGTTACTGTTGCTGTTGCTGCTGCTGCTGCTGTTGCTGCTCTGGCTGCGTTGTTGTTGCTATTGCCTGCGTCGTCATTTCCCCCATCGCCCTTGTCCTCGGTGTTATTCTTGTTGCCATCACACAGCCAAGGAGTATAACTCTTTGATTGGTGATCTTGTGGAGAGCGTTGACCCACTGACTGGACAACTTTGCCCGACAGCTGCCACCAAGCCGATCATAGAGGACAGTGAAGTGCAAAAGTAGGTTATGCGAATAAGGGGGAGATTTGCTGTTGTGCTGGGGGGGGGGGGGGGGGGGGGGAGATTTACCGTTGTGCCTGGGGGGGGGGGGGGTAGAGGACATAGGGCAGCCGTTCATGTGAACACACATAGCATAGATGCACGTGGAAATCTCAGGGCTGCCACTTGCTCCGATTCTTGATCGCCTGTCAGACAAACCGACCGATTTTGTTCCCAAGCGTTTCTTCTGTATCTCTGAGTTTCACGGTTTTAACCGCTTTTGATCCCTCTCAAGTGTGTGTACTACACTGCTGTTTGCGCCTGGCCACTCAGTAAGATGGCGGCAATCACGTCACGTGCAAAAACTCTTCGAGTTTCCATAGTAATACACATGGCGCGTGTGCACGCGTACGCAAACAATCATGTGTGCACCAAAAGCGGACCCACAAAAATTTAATTTATTTGAAAATCAACTAACAAACAACATGTTTGGGATATCGTTTGAGCAAGGAACTTACCTGAAACGGTCCTCAATTGGCCTTCCGCTTGCGCTTGGCCCTTTGAGGGACAAGTTTGGCGTGCTGAGGAAGCGTGGAGGAAAGGTGAGCCTTCAAGACAGTCCGTAGCTTGTCGACATCGTTCACGACGCCTCCGTGTCGCTTGCGAAGGTCGTTGAACTCGGCGTGAATACTTTCACCTCCCTGCTCAGCTAGTAGGCCCAGGCCAACTCTGAACCTTGCCAAGGCGTCAGGCAGATGGCATTCCAGCAAATGAAGCTTAGGCGTTACATGGCCAAGTTTTCTGGTGACGACCTCTTGCCGTGCTGTGGAGAGGAAGGTAGCGCAATCACTCTCGAACAGCTGAATATCTTCTGCTGACATTGTTGCGCAGGACGAGTATCTTCGGCGGCAGTGAGAGAACTGAGTGAGCAGGTCATTATACCGCTTTGCCACTACTCTGGCCTGGTCGAGAACGGATGGAGGCGCTGCTCTCTCTGTGGTGGAGGCGACAATCAGAGGCGCATTTGACAAAGCAGCAACCACTGGTGGCTGCAGGGCATGGTGAATATGATTGCCGATAAAGGCACCACCATGGTACCGCTGGCGACAAATATTGTACTCCTGCAGAGTTCTGTCCAGTGAGGCCTCACATGGACCATGCAGAATACTGCGGCTCTGGAGCTGGTCAGACAGAGCCTTCACTTCATCCTGGAGAGAGCTGATGGCGCTTGTGGTGGTGTGCTGCTTCGCCTGAATTCCTGCTGTGGCCGCTTCAAGCTGTGGGGCAGTCAGGTTGGAAGCATGGATCGCAAGCCATTCGAGCTGCTCCTGTAGACTGTCAGCTGCTGTGCGCTCGTTCTGAAGATCCAATTGCTTCTGGCGAAGGCTCTCGTGCATCTCTGTTGTGACAGTGTACGCTCGGCTATCTGTGCCAACTGCTGTACTGGATGATGCAAGGGCAACGTCCAGCATCTGGCAGTCCTTGGTCATGGCATCGAATATCCAAGCGAATATTCCCAGATCCAAATGAAGAACGGGAATAATCACATTGTCCAGGGACACAGGCAAGATCGGTGGCCGGATGCAGTTGTTGTGCTTCTTAGCGTCCGCTAATTTTGCACCAGCTCCAACAAAGGCAGCGTTGTCTGTGCACAACGTATCGAGACTACGCGGTGCTCCGCTACACCCAGGTAGCTGTATCTCTTTCCGCATAGCAGTGCAGTGCAGGCAAGGGTGGGTTCCACTCGACCCTGACAAGCCGTACAACGTGGTCTGCAGTTCGTAGTCTCCGAACAACAAGACCCTCACTGACCTGTTACGCCACGTTGTACTGGCCAGCTTCTCGACCTCACTGACGAATGGCTGCAGGGCCGTGCACAGATTTGCTGCCGTATCTTTAGCAGCAAAGATGATAAACGGAATGATGTGCCGTAGAGCATTGCACTGCTGCACATTAACGATCTGGAACGACATCTTGAAGGACTCGCCACCGTGATCGCCGCCGATTTTGACCCATACCTCATCATTTGGGATTGCACCATCATGCCAGTGAAGCTGATCTGTTGCCTCCAGCTGGTTCAAGTAGTGATGGACAGTCCCAACAAGATCAGGAATTGTCACCATTGCATGCAGCTCGACGCTTCCAGATGCTGCTACGAACGGTGTCTTTTCTGCCACAATGGTAAACGGCAAAAGATCGTCGAGCTGTTTGCGCATTACCCGCTCTGACTCGAGATACAGGCCAAAGTCCTTCAGCCATACTTTCAATTTCCGGAGCTGATTCCATGGCATGTGTAGGTTGGCTTTCAATGCTAGCGTTGTGCCTGTCCCAGGTGTTTTTGGCATGACACCAGCCTCAATGAGAACAGCTTTACGCTCTTCCTCCTTTAGCCGACTTAATGTGGCAGCTTGCTGGACAACTGCACCGGCGAAACTCCCTGCTACGCGCTGGCTGGTTTTTTCAAGCTCAGCACAGCGTCGCCGCACAGTCCTGGCTGATGCATTGTTGGACGGTACAGCTGCAACTGTTGTTCGTTGCCATGTCTGCGATGGACCTCGGCTCCTCAACTGAAGTACGCCAGCATCCGCCTTGCTCTTCACTAGATGGCTGGTGAGACTGTCTGACACGTTGCCTCGGAGCTTTGACGGCGAAGCAGTGAGCACATCGCTGACAGCGGTGGACGGGCCGACTGTTTGCTTACCAGTGTTCTCGCAGTTCTGCACATGGCTGGCAAGTTGAGCAAGTGGCACTGTTGCCGGGCAACCAATCAGCGCTCCAGCATAATTGTCGCACCTGACCACTAGTTCGGCAAGGCAGCCTTGCAAGATCGGATTGGGCGTGCTGAGATTCGACACGGAGAGCTGTGCATTGCAACCAGGGCATGTTGTATCAGAAGCCAGCCACTCCCACACACATGCGGAACAAAAGCTCTTTCTACAGCAGTCTGCTTCCACGGCTCTCTCTAGCACATTGCTGCATAGTGTACATTGTAATGTAGCTTGGCATCCGATGAATCTATCTGTGCTCAGACTCTTGTTGGCTGCATAGCTTGGTGTTGCTACATCATACAATTTCTGTAAACATGTACTCTGACTCTCCGAGTTGATCCCTGTTGTCCGAGACCGTGTCTGGTGTGTGCCTGTGTGCGTAGACGTGCACGTGGATGTAACGGCTGCCGCTGTACGGGCAGGTGGCTTTGTTGTTCTCTTTTTCTTAGCCGGACGACCACCTTTGGCGGCTTGCTCAATGGTAGTGCATACCCTGCATACTGTGGTACCATCCTCATGCACATGATCATGGGGAAGCCAGCTACTTGGCTCGGCACATCCTCCACCACAACGTATATACTCTGACTTGCTCAAAGCATAATTCACAGCCTTGTAGCATGTACTGCAAATCTGTGTAGGGTGCACGTGTGGTTGGTCCTGTGTGATATCCACTTCAAAACATTTCAGAATACCCTCGGCATTCTCAGAAACAGAATACGTAGTTTTCTGCTTCTGCTTGGCTAGCGGAACACCGCCGACGCGACACAAAAGACCCAGTAATCGAACATGACGATCCATTCTATAGATCTACACGTAAAAACGGAAAAACAGCCAAAAAAGCGCAGGCTTCGTTTCGGTAGTTTAGGTTTCGTTCGGATCGAGTGAGGTGGCAATCGATCGAGAAAGACCTGAGGTCCGACGAGAAACTCACCAAACATGAAAAATAACTTCTGGAACACGAAGGGAAGGGTCTATCAAGAACGGAGATGCTACTCAATCGTGATGACGAGCGACATGAAGTTGTTTCAACAGATCGTGTCAGAACTCAGCTCAACCTTCACCGATCGTCTTCAAATTTTCTGGTGTGGTCTATCATGTTGTAGTCACTCACTGTATGTGGTTCTTGTTCTTCTTTCATGCGTAGAACAGTCCTAGAAACGCAAGAATGTGACCCGTGTCAGCGAAAAATTGTTTCTGTGAAAATCAAAAATTCAAATTTCCAGGGAGAGTGCGTACGCTCGTACCCAGGACACTGTGGCCAGGATCAGGTCTATGATAACAGCAGTGACTAGGCTCTGCAACTTGGTGTATTGAGCACTCTCACGAGCAACCACACCTCCCTCCGAGTAGACCTACATTGTACGTGTGGACTGCATGCAGTGCATGTTCGCGTGTTGTAGTGAGTATGGGCGCATGGGCGCATGCTTGAAAACCGCGTGTGCGCCCACCCGAAAATGTCAAGTACACCCCTAGATTCATACACAGTGTATGAAAAAAAAACTGAGCCCGAGCGGGCCAAAAATTGGGGCGGACGTGGACGATAAACAATTTTTTCTGCTTGGCCTAAAAGAGCGCCAAAAACGTGCCCTGTTGGTCGAAAACTCCTACTTTTTCTTCCCGGTGGACACCTCGGACCCCCGGCCGTACCACTCCCCATTGTCCTTTGACGCCCCTGACACTGGGTTTGGGTGACATGTTCCCGTTGTCCTTCAGGCACATGGTAGCCATGCTGGCCCAGGAGGAGAACCAGAGACAAGTGATGAACGAACTTATCACCATGGAGATGGACGACAAAGCGAGGACCACCATCCGCGAACAGATTGAAATGGTGAGTTGAACATGAGGCTAGATGACATTAATTTTAATATCTGACAACTTTTGCTGGTGTATATAGCCCGTTCTGTCAAATATCAATACGTTTTGCTGTCTGCTTTCTCGATTTTAATGTGTGTGTGTGTGTGTGTGTGTGTGTGTGTGTGTGTGTGTGTGTGTGTGTGTGTGTGTGTGTGTGTGTGTGTGTGTGTGTGTGTGTTCGGGTGTGTCTTCTTGTACGTTGTGTGTCTTATCGTGTGTCTTTGTGTGCGAGCGCATGCGTGCACGTATGCTTGTGTCGATGTCCGTGTGGATATTGCATGTTCATCCCGGTGTTATGCGCCTCTTCATCTCAGCACGCGCAGCTGCTGCTACAAACGTTTGTTCTGGGTCGTTGTGATGAGCGACTTCAGGACGTCGTCCAGTCATCAGCCGATATGCTCAACGAACTGCAAGCTACCAAGAACGAAGCTTTGAAAAGTAAGACAGCACTCGAAGTGAGGCCTATCATCTCTTTCTTCCCAAATTTGACGTTGGTTTTTCCAGGATCTTGTTGAGATTCAGAATTACGATATGTCCTCTTTTGTGTCGCCAAGGAATCTGTGCAGCTGTGTTCGGTGGAAGTTCAAATCATGGCGAGGCTACAGAGGAGTTACGCCATTCTCATTGAATTTTATCTCCTCTGTCCTGTCAATGACTTCTGTGTGCGTTGCAGACCCGGCTGATCCGTCCGCGGCTCAGTCAGACGTGCAGCCGACTCCACAGTCGGGCACGTCGGACGATGGCAGCGACGCTCCTGCCAATGCATCCGCCGCCGTAGCAACAGCAACAGCCAAGTCCGCTGCTCCATCCAGCAGGCCAACGACTAGACCATTGCTGGTACTGGACACGCCCGTCATCGATGTTGCTATGACGATCGTCATGACACCACCAGTTGCCGATGAAGTCATGACGAGCGGATGGAGACCGCCGAAACGCCGCAGCAGAACGCAGAAAACAACGCAGTTAACCAGCCCATCGTACCCCAGCCAGCGTGAGTAGTCGATTTATTCGTTCAGCTCAGCAGTACTTGCTAGTAACTTACTAATTTTTCTGAAGATCGTGCCCTATTTTACAACACATGTTTTAGAAAGTGAACTCTTGATGTCCTGATGTCGTTCTGAACGCCAGTCAGTGATTGGTCTTATAGTTATTCTGATTCAGGATTGGTGTGGAGAATGCTCACTTCATCGTGCCAATCTTTCTCTCTCACACTCTGTCTGTCCCCCCCCCCCCCCCTCTCTCTCTCTCTCTCTCTCTCTCTCTCTCTCTCTCTCTCTCTCTCTCTCTCTCTCTCTCTCTCTCTCTCTCTCTCTCTCTCTCTCTCTCTCTCTCTCTCTCTCTCTCTCTTTTTTTTCTTTCTTTCTCTTTCTCTCTCTCTCTCTCTGCAGCATCTGCGCCGAGTGATATTGTAGCTAAGGTATTTCTGGACCATCCAACCATCTTCCTCAGGCGTCCTTATCTCTTGCCAATTACTCGCTTCGGTGAGTTGAGATGTATGAAGCCAAGAGCAGTTTGAGAGATGATACATTGCTGCTGTAACACTACTGCATAACACGTTTATTTCGGTGTAATTTTAATTTCGGTAACTTCGGTAGAGAAACCAGGCGCCTAAATTTAGCTTACACGTAAAAGGCGCTAGAGTATGCATGGTATATGAGGGTAGGCTGGTCACCTAATTCTACATTATACCTGAAACCTGGCAGGACCCTGACACCGAAATTTTAGTACACCTGAAATTTCGTGTTGTACACTATGCCATGAGTGTGGTTGCATGTGCAAGTAGGTGGCTAAGCGCCACAGCATGAAAATTCTTAACGGATACCAACACTGGCGGGAGTAACCGTCAATCTGTTTTGGTCGACAGCGTTTTCTCAGCAGATATTTGCATTTCTGTAACTCCACTGCTATTCTGAGTGAGAATGACGTTTTTCAGAATGGAGCGATGAGTGGAGGCGAGTTTTTGTCTTCTTTCTGTGCGCCCACGTGTTGCTTTCATGCCCGGCCGGCGCCACGAGTGATTGCATTTGTGTGACGCGCGGCATTTCACTCAAACGGATTGTCTGTTCATCTCGCTGTATGTGGTATTCTTACAGTTTTGCACGGGAAAAAGGCGCGGGTTCCTAAACACCCTAGATTTACACGCAATGGAGTGACTTCACGTCACACGACCGTATACGGCACAGGCTTGTTGGTGCCAACCCCAGTCAACCACTGTATCTTATACACCACATGATGTCGGGCCCTAGTTGGTTCCACTGTTCACAACTCCATGTGCCATGATCACGTTATACAGAACTTTAGTCACATGGCCAACATTGTGAAGCCACTCTTTTTTGCAGACGTTCTCAAATCTTCTGCTGTTTCCTTCTTCTTTTTTTACGTACAGTGTCTCTGTCCTATCTGGATGAACTGGCGCTGCGGAGTCGCAGGGTGGCTTTCAGTACTGCGGAAGACAAGTAAGTTTGAAATTGTTGCCCTGACGGTTGGCGTTGCCTTGACGATGGCCTGCTGGGCGGAAGAGCTGAGATGCAGAACCCGATATGTGCCGAGTTTGAGAAAATCTGATTCTCAGCTCAGTGTCAACAAAAGGTCTAGTTGCACCACCAGGCAAAATTTCACATTCCTAATCCAACTTGAACCATTTCGAAATTGAAACCCACATTTGGATTTAGATACCAACTGCACGTAAAATGAATCCTTTTTTTGCCATGATCCGAGAAGTGATGAAGGGGATATGCTGTAAAAGCCATTATCACATGGCACGTGATTGTTGCCCGTACTCCAGCGAATCAGCACCTTTCGCGCCGCGGGCAATAATATGCGATATTGCCCGCAAAAAAATAGTTTATTTCAGTGATCGCGTGACCTGGTGACTACTCTGTAGACTGTACGACTCTACGACGAGTCGCAGTGTAGCATTGAGACGAAGATGGAATTCTTTTTGGAGATGGACATCCCGGCAATGGACATGGCCTCGGACGTCTGCCGTGTGGTGCTTGCAGGGATCATTTGTTCAGTCATGTTGGCAGCCTGACCGTCGGTAATCTTGTGGATAAGATTCAGTTCTGCTCGAAGTGGTACTGTGATCACAAACAATTATTTGAAATAACAGAAATTCAACTCAGCGTCGTGCGTTTTCATATCCTCGCAAAGTCACTGCCTGTGTGTGGTCTTCATGTGCCACGCAAAACTCTTACCAGGCTCATCTGTCCTCTGCCTTCACCTTTGCTTGAACAACAAACACAACAATTCAGGAATGTTTTGCAATGAAAAATACAGCTATCTGGAGCTGAAAAAAAGAAGAAAAATTGTCCTCAGAAGTACACACCAGGGAGTCGTCAAATACTTGCACTTGTTGCAGTACTGTATTTGACAACTTCCTGATACACATGTAAACATGAAGAAACTCTTTGTGGTAGCACTCTTAATTTTTCAACTGAAATTATGATTCTGCTGTATTTTATTGTCGTTGCCATGTCTATTGCTATGACGATGCGGTGCCGGCACTTTTTTTCTGTCTCCGTCTTTCAGTACTGTATACTCTCTGATGGCCTGTAGCAGACTTTTTGTTAGGGTGTAGGAGAAATATCTTCATGTTTCCTGTTTTGATAATGATAGCACATCAATATACATTGTGGTCATAATGTGTTGGCATTTGGGCTAATTTCAACAGCAGCCCAATGGTCTGCTCTGTGGGCCATGTGATAAATTTGTTATCGCATGGTTGCTGCGGGCCTTATGGCATATTATTGCCCCTCGAGGTTAGCCCTCGGGCCTACGGCCCTCGGGCTAACCTCTCGGGGCAATAATATGCCATAAGGCCCTTGCAACCATGCGATAACATATACTTATTCTAACGAGCCGCATATAATAACGATTTCCTAAAATTGACCGGTTTACGTGTGCCAAAGGTAACGATTCTCACTCATTCTCAACGCTCACGAGCAAGAGTATATGTATCGATTTCTGTATAACGTTTTCTATTTTAACGACAGATTTCTCCTTGTTACCTCGTTAGAATCAGCACTTGGTTATATATAAGGCTTTTACAGTACTGTGCAGGCAGAACATTTCGCCTGTCAATAATTTCGTCCAGCTCCAAAGAAAGGGAGTTTGTCCAGTTGAAAATTTCGTCCAGGGATCATGAGAGTGTATTGAAAAGCTGGACAAATCGACATTAGTCTGGCATTTAATTTAGTCCAAAAGCTCCTTGGACGAAAAAGACGAAATTAATTTCCGGACGAATGTTTCTGCTTATGCAGTAGCCGGTTTTGCATTCCAGCTCCTGAAATGTAATTTTTGTTTTCTTCCAGCTTGCTTGCTCTTGGACTGACCGTGTTTGGAAAGAACTATGACTTGATCACCGCCAATTATCTGCCGATGAAGACACCACAGCAACTCAAGATACGCCACAGCAACAGGACGAAAAGCAAAAAGGAGCTTAATGTGATACGGGTAAGGCTTTAGGTGCTGCTGCTGCTGCTGCTGCTGCTGCTGCTGCTGGTGTGTGTGTGTGTGTGTGTGTGTGTGTGTGTGTGTGTGTGTGTGTGTGTGTGTGTGTGTGTGTGTGTGTAAGTGTCCCTGAAGTGAAATTGGAGTTGCTTTACTCTCCCCCTCCAATTTCACTTCAAGATACCGGTGCATCTAGTGTCTGCTTCTATCAAAGCAGTGTCTATACTTGTTACTCCAGCAAGTGTAGAGTGTGCATAGGTAACTGTCTTGGCCGTTCTATTCCGATGTACTCCGTGTGGCGTAGACCAGGTGTGCATTGGTGGTCGATTCACATGGCTTCGAAGGTTATGTGGATTGAACAGTTATCTGGCGCTAGTCCTATCTGTCTTATTCAGATCTTGTCCGCTATGGTTGCTATAAGAGAACAATCTGTAGGTGCACATCTAGTGCAATTGCAGATGTGCGTGCTTCTCTTGCGACGGGCGTATACATGGTACATGGTGTGTGGAAGTGCCGGGTGTGTGCGTGCGCGTGTGTGCGTGCGCATGTGTCCGTGTGCGTGCTTGTGTGTGTGTGTGTGTGTGTGTGTGTGTGTGTGTGTGTGTGTGTGTGTGTGTGCGCGCGCATCTCTCTCTCTCTCTCTCTCTCTCTCTCTATCTCTCTCTATCTATCTCTCAGTGCATCTTCTCGTCATCATGTTCTGCATCTGTTTCTCTCCCTCTATGGATGCAACACATAAGAAGCATACGGATTCAGAAATAACTTGGTTAAGAAGCACTGGAAACCCCCCCCCCCCCCCGCTAGCCTGAGCTTGTGCAATAACTGATTTCCACTTCCATGTGTGGTCTGCAACCTCTGCAGATTGTATGAGATATTCTCTGTTAGACTCGAGTGGAGTGCCAAGGATGATTTTGGGAAGAAGAAAGGACCAAAGACGTGCTAGAGCTGATTGGCAGTGAACTTAGTTGTAGGACATTAGTACCGTTGGTCAGTGTCGTGCAATGTTATCGCACGAGCTGAACGTCCAGTAACTGGTGGTGTCAGTGGACAGTATAGTGTAGCTTGTAGTTCTTTGGTCCATTTTCTTTCCTATATTGTCTTGTGTGCATTTCTTCTTCTTGAACAGACGTTGAAGAAGACTGGTAGTTTGCGGCTCGATCCACCCTTCTCTACTCAAGGTTAGTCCAGCTCTACGACGTTGTTTCGCAGTAAATGGCTGTTGCGAATGCCTTCCGTTTAGATGTTCGTGTGTGTGTGTGACGCGCTCGCGTCAGTTCGTTTCAAGGCATCATCGTCCATTGTTATTTCGCTCGTGCATTGCCAGTGTCATATTCACTAGTAATATAAACTACGAGTAGGTGGTTCCAGTGTAGTCGAAACCGAATACCGTATTATCTCTAATATAAGCACGGTCCTTTATTTTTTCAATGTACCTCCGCCCCGTGCTATTAATGGAGATGTTCCTTTATTGGAGACTGTTCCATTATTATTTCAACCTCATTTCAGAGGCATGTTGCCATGCCAAATTCATGTCAGACACACACAGTCATATTTCAGGGTTTTTTTCGCCGGTACTGCATTTTAGAGATAATACGGTACATGCTTTTTACCAGGTACCGATAGACATGATCGACAGTGTGCTTAATTATAATGGAGACTGAGCACTTTATTTTTTGAATGCCGCCCCAAGGCGTTCTATTATTAGAGACTGTGCTTATATTAGAGATAATACGGTAGCTGATTCATGTTCATGTACATGGTTTCCAGTACATGAACCTTTACGAAGTTTAGGGGGTTCTGTGGACCGCCCCTGAGGTGGTGGGATATGCGATCAGGCTCCTCAATGCCCCACACCATCGTGTGTGCTGTCAAAAATATCAAAGATGAGTGTGTGCGTGTGTGTGCAGGGATCGATTTACTTTGATTTTTTTGCATAGCAGTCACTGCTACACAGTTTTACAATTGACTAGCAACTCCCAGTATTGATTAGCAGCTTTCCTTCATCAAAAGTTTACATGTATAGCTGTACAATAGCAGGATTTCGTACAGAAGAGGACAATAGCTGCAGTTGCTATTTGCTTTTCCAAGCGAATGTTCGACCTGAATATTTACGTTAGAGTTTTCGCTTGGGCACGTTACATGTTCAGCGTCCATCCGTCTTCGAGTTCTTCACAACACAATGTCTTTCAACAGGGCAGTTCCACTGATTCCTTCGACAAAGAAACCTCAGGAAAGCGCTCAAACGATCGTGACATCTCGTGCAAAGCGCATCGAATTTCGCTTTTCTCCTTTTCTTCATCAAAATGAATCGACATTCCTGGCGCGTCCAGTTCTTTGTCCCTCTTCTGGACAGTGAATCACTGATCAGATTCACTGACATGTTGGCTACATGAGACTAAGAACCATCTACTTAAACTGTGCCTTGTCGAACAGAAACAAACTGACCTTGACAGTGAAAGAAGAAAGGAGAACATCAGGAAAAGTCACCGCCGTGTACAAAACTTCAGAAGACTGCAGTCATGTACGACCAGTGCTAGTGCAGTGTCCAAAATCGAAAGAGCGCGATCCGCGACCCGCGCGCGGACTGAGCAGGACAGGCCAGTTGGTTGGAGTAGCAAAATACTACTCCCTAGTCAGCAGTGTGTACAACAGTCTGCACACAACTGGTCTTTGTAGTGCATCGCAGTTTTGGGCGATAAAAAACGAAAAGCGAATCGCAGCCAGTGAATTTTGATTCGCAAACTGCGATGCGAACCCGGATAAATCGATCCCTGGTGTGTGTGTGTGTGTGTGTGTGTGTGTGTGTGTGTGTGTGTGTGTGTGTGTGTGTGTGTGTGTGTGTGTGTGTGTGTGTCCTCACCCACTTACTGAGGTGTGGTGAGCCCATAAGGGGGATCATTTTCAAGTCCACCCAGAGTTTGGGGGATTTCAGGGGCAGTGAATTTTCTAGAACCGCCCCAAGCGGTTTTCGACCGGTTGAAATTGTTGGCAACCGGTTGAAAAGTTACAAATCAGTTCCAACCGCCCGTACTTTTCTGTGGGTGAATGGAGCTGTGAATGGTCAAATGCTTTTTTCTGGACGGATACTTCCAGCGAAGCCGCGTGGGCTGGTACTAGGGTCACGAGTTTGTACGGTTTGTACACTCCAGCACCAAGAAATCTGTTAAATTTGCTGTCGAGTGCCATATTTGGGTTGTATTTTCAAAAATATTTCCGGGGGGGGACCCCCCGACCCTCCGACTCTTCATTGGACCGTAACCGGTTGGAAATTCGTCCTAGAATATACCCTGACTGGGGGTGTCGGCCGTTGGGCGGTTCAATAGCCAATTTAGTCATCTTTCCAAGATTCCTTTTGAGTCTCTCTCCCCTCTCCCGGGGAGACCCACGTGACCAGTTTTGGCAGTGAACAACAAGTACAAGTGTGTGTGTGTGTGTGTGTGTGTGTGTGTGTGTGTGTGTGTGTGTGTGTGTGTGTGTGTGTGTGTGTGTGTGTGTGCATGTGCGTGTGTCGATGTGGCCGTGTTGGTTCCTCTGTCTGTGTGTTGCAGAACTTCTTGCTCCTCCGCCTCCTTGGATACTGGTGAGTGACACTGCATCTTGTGATTCGCCAGCCCTGAACATGTCCAGGAAGAAATGATTTCCAATGGAGAACAAGTCATGTGCGGGGAGGGGGGGGGGGGGGTGCAAACTAATTGCTTGCTCGGAACAGGTTGCTACATTGCGCCCTGATTACGTGTGAACTGTTGTCATACATTCAAGGAGGTGTGTATACATTGTTATCAACTAGCGCACCACGCCGTTGCGCTCTCCGGCCGACCTCGACACGTTGCCACAGCACACCATCAGCAGAACGACACTTCAGTTGGTACTCTGCTCCTTCAGACAGCGGCTGTTGCGATTATCAGAATCTCGAGAGCGCAACGGTGTGGTGTGGTGGTTGATAGTAATCTGGACAAGGCCGAATGCTGCTGCTTGCCCCTCTTTATTGTATGGTGTATGCACATACATTTATACTTACAGTAAACCCTGGGTTTAACGACCGTTTTTCCATGCACCGACAGTTCTACACAGACACTGTGGGACCTGGTTCTAAAGACCGCCTGGCTTTAACGACCGCTTTTGCTTGCACCGTGGGGTAGTCGCTTTAAAACCCTTTACCTTCTGACCATAATTCCCAGCCAGTTCCAAATGCGATATTTCTCACCTCATTCTGAGAATATCTTTGGTTCTAATCAACCAATTTTCACAATCGTGGGCATTCTGGAAAGCTCTCCACGAGCTGCGTAGAATGAGCTCAAACTGGACACTACTGAGATCACATATCCAACGCCAGGGTGCTTCAAACACTCCCCATCGCTGGATATCCGAGAAAATTCTCTCCTCGTCAGCCATTTCTCACTCCTTCATCGTAAACATTTCAAATTTGTTTGCCTGAGTTTCTTTTTATGCTGCCCACGCGCTCAAAACATGCCCAGGCGACTCAGCATGTCAGGAGAGGGAAAATCCCCAGCTCAAGGCCAGTCACTCAGAAAAAAATTGACGTTTGCCGTGGCTGAAATGTCGAGTGCGATATCTTTGGAATGCGACATCGCAGCTCTCCGCTGATTGTTGCAATGAAAAGCTGGGTTCTTCGGCTTCTTCATACATACTTAGTTTTTGAGATTCCGTCAAGAATTGATCGAGTTACGAATGTTTTAGTGCATGCATGTCCATCGACCAAATTCGGTCGATTCATGTACACACAGAAGGTAAAGGGTTAAACCAGGTTTTACTGTATCTGGACTTGATGCTCACTTTGTATGCTTCCCCTACATGATAGTGTTGTGTTTGTCTACATGTGTTGCTCTCAGAGAGCCAGACTACGCTTCATGCAGATGGAGGAGCAGCTCGAAGATGACGAGGAGCCAGACAAGAGTCCCGCGCCGCCAGTGAAGAGCAAGAGCAAGGTGAAAGCCAAGACAAAGTCGAGTAGCAGCACGCCGCAGCCTAGACTCTTGCCTAATGCTATCCTTGCAGCTGCTCAACGTGCTCACGAGTCCGTGCTCCGTAAGTGTTCTTTTGTTTTTGTTTTATTGTGGTGAGTCCCCGTGGGGATGATTTTCGATACCTGGAGAGGTTGATGTGCTCATCTGTGTGTTTAGGTGTTCGGCCAGCGTGTAGACAGGGTGTGGTAGGCTGTGTGTCCACGTGTCTGCTTGAAGTATGCACGTAGGCGGGGTGGGTTTATGCTCATTTGTTTTGGGTTGCTTCGTACGAGTGCATTGGTGGGAATTGTGAGCGTGCTCCACACGGTGTCATACTTCGCTGTGAGCATGTGTGTACCTTATTGGCTGAATGTGGTGAAAACCAGTTTAGGGGAAGGTTCTCTCAGCCTTCCCCTCACCGTGAATATTTTCCTCAGCAATCTCTTTACACAAAGTAGATGCAGGTCGAAACAGGTAGCTGTCCGTGAATGCTGGACTGTTTCCCAAAATTCCCCAATTGACTAAGCCACATTAATTTTTGTTATTACCCCGTCCGCTCCAGTGCGCTGTTCGGTGTCATGTTCCGGGGCACAGCTCTGCGGCATTGAAACATTCTCTTTCTCTGATGTGTGTTCTGGACAGAGGCCCTGCCGACGGCCGCTCTCTACAACGCATCAATGTCCTCCAGCGACAACACCGAGATCACCATATTTGGCAGCAGTGCTCGCGCTCAACAGGACGTGAACGCCGTCGCCAGCATCGGTCTGCTGGCCAAGAGCAATACGAACGTGGTGGGCAAACAGATCGTTCCACTGCCGCCCACCGCCTCGCTGGCAATGCCGCCAGCAGAACTCGCCGAGTTAGTTTTTCCTTCTTCCTCGTATTCGTTCTGTCGTATACAGTATGATCAAGAGTATATAAGCCCCCAAGAGTGTGCATAGATAGGGTATCAGGAGTTGCACACTCTTGGGATCTTACTGTAACACATGTAAATATTACGTGGAAGTACTGGAGTAAATCTAACGTTTTAACGAATGACATTTCTTCGTTATAATAACTTCTGATGATGCGGTAATGCCTGGTATGTGTTATGTGCGGATACGCCAGAAGACTGCAAGATCGTTAACGTATCTTCTCGTTAACCTAAGAATTTTGGACAATCGTTAAATTTGCGACTCGCTATAATAACATGTCTTGCAGTATATATACTCTTGGTGCAATGGTGATGGGATCTTTGGCCGAAAATTTGTTGCGGCTGAAATTTGGTTTTGCAAGGTTGAGTGTGACAATGTATACAGGCAACAGCAGGACAGGTTGAAATTTTAATGTGGCCGAAATGTGTTTTAGCCCTGGGAGGCCGAAAATTTAAGCCCGCTGAAAATTCGTAGACTTACAGGAATTGGAGGTGGAATGACTGGAAAAACATGTTTTTTGGTCTTACCGTAATAACGCGCATATAAGCACATTTGAACTCGGATGGTGAGCCAATATAGTTAGGATGAAGAAAGGAAAAGGACAAAATGTTACGAGTTACTGTCGCACTTGCTGACTGTATAAGATCTGGTTACGTTGGTGGACAGTTTGTCATAACTCGTAACATTTTGTCCTTTTCCTTTCTTCATATAAGCACATGCCCTTTATATAAGTAAAAAATTGCTACAAATCCAATTTTCAACAATGAAAATGTTTCACCTAAACGCGCATGCGCGATCAGATTTCGTTTGCCAGAATTTGTTTGTGCTTGGCTAGGTCTTGTAGTGTCAGTTTCATGGTTCCTGTTTGCTGCTTTTCAGACTTTTATCCGTGATTGTGTCAAAGTGAGAGTGACTCTGGATTGACTTGAAGTACAGTCAACTTTGCGTATAATGACACTCGGCGGGGCGTCAGAAAAGTGTCCATATTCGCGAAGTGTCCTTATACCCGAAGTCTCATTATATGTATTACAGTCTCTCAGTATTACAGTCTCCCCCTCCCTCCATATTGGCCACGGGAAGGTGAAATATATAAATTGATTAATTAATGGGAATTCTGTCGTTATTCGCGAATTGTCGTTATATTCGCAGTCGTTATTAGCGACATGTTGCATTTGCTGCGTCTGTGCAGGCTCTACCATCAGCATCAGCCGGTGAGCGCCGGGCCGAGCCAGGCTGGCAGCCACCACCATTTGCTGGCCTGGCCTGCGAGTGCGCCCGCCGTGCGCAGCCCGTCCTTGAACACGGCCGCCAGCAGTCGCGGCGCCGTCACCTCTGCCACCAGCACCGGTGCCACCGCCAGCGCGGGCGGAGTGAGAGTAGGCGCCGGCGTAGCCACCCCGGCAGCGATGGCCGCGGTTACCGCTGCCGGTTCTAACGTCAAGCTGCTTCCCGTCGGTGGCATGGCTCTAACACCGCGATACAAGTGCAGGCCACGGCCGGACCGACGCGAGAAAAAGCCCAAAGAGTAAGCAACGCACGAAGCGACCTTTGTTGTTGACTCTGACTTGCGTTGTAGGGGATCACCACGAGCCACTCTCTGCATTTTACTGTGTACATTGCACTACCTGACTACATGAGTAAAATCAAGAGTATATAACCCCCCCCCCCCCCCCCCCAAGAGTGTGCAACTCTGCATATGGGGTCTCCGACGGCGAAAACTCACATCATGTGTCCTAGGTTCATTTTGTACTACGTACACACGAAGGATAGCGTGCACGCAATCCGAATATCTGCCATGATCATGGTGGCCAGTTGCAGACGCGCGCAGTGAGTTTCGGTCAGAGAGCGCATCTTTATTACTCCGCTGTTCGCTAAAAAACGGGCTGGAAGCGTACAACTGGAACACTGCACCGCGTGATGTGAGTTTTAGCCGTCGGTGAACCCCATAGAAAGGGTATCAAGAGTTGCACACTCTTGGGGGCTTATATACTCTTGGTAAAATCATGAACATGGCTCGTCACAAACCAGTGGTAGATTGCTAAAGGTCCATGTAGCAAGCATGACCTGCTTTGCAGTTTTCCTTGCGTGGGCTTGTGCTTTGATTTGCTATGCCCTGGCATCCGAGTTATCATCTTTTGACTTGCTATACCTTGGGATCTGGGGAGCCGTCTTTGACTTGCTATACCCTGGGGTCTGTCTCCGCTTCATCTTTGTGTTTGTTCTGCCCTGGGATCTGCGTGTTTGTTAGGCTGAGAATTCATTGTGTTGTGCATGTTCCACTTGATGCTAATAGAACACTGTGTAAGATGGGTAGAAACATGCTGCTGCTGCTGCTGCTGTTGCTGCTGCTGCTGCTGCTGGTGGTGCTGCTGCTAGTGGTGGTGGCGCTGCTGCTGCTGCTGCTGCTGCTGCTGCTGTTGCTGCTGCTGTTGCTGCTGCTGTTGCTGCTGCTGCTGTTGCTGCTGCTGCTGTTGCTGCTGCTGCTGCTGCTGCTGCTGCTGCTGGTGGTGGTGCTGCTGCTGCTGTTGCTGCTGCTACTACTGCTGCTGCTGTTGCTGCTGCTGCTGCTGTTGCTGTTGCTGTTGCTGTTGCTGCTGCTGCTGCTGCTGCTGCTGGTGGTGGTGGTGCTGCTGTTGCTGCTGCTGCTGCTGCTGCTGTTGCTGCTGTAGCTGCTGTAGCTGCTGCTGCTGCTGCTGTTGCTGCTGCTTCTGCTGTTGCTGCTGCTGCTGTTGCTGCTGCTGCTGTTGCTGCTGCTGCTGCTGCTGCTGCTGCTGCTGCTGCTGCTGCTGCTGCTGGTGGTGGTGGTGCTGCTGCTTTTGGTGATGCTGCTGGAGGTGCTGCTGGAGGTGCTGTGGTGGCGGCTGCTGTTGATGATGTCCTTGCTGAAATGGTCTAAGTGTTCGCTCGCATGTTCTGGATGTACTTTATATGGACGATTAGCCACGGTGGGAGCACAGGATTTAAATTTTAGTCTTCATAATATTGAAATGAAGACTGTAAAAGTGTTCATCAGCAGGCACAATATGCAACAGTCAAAATACGATTTGAACGTTTTCTTATGGTTGCCATCATAACACCTGGGTTTCTCCTTTTTATCGCCTGTGTGCTTGTCTCCATGTCCCTGCGCAGGCCGACTAGATGGAAGCGTCCGTACCGCAGCAAGAAGCACAAGGAGGATGCGGCCGCGGAGGCCGCGATCGCAATGGGAACGCCGTCGGACCAGATGGTTGCCACGGCGGCAGCGGTGGCGCGCATGGCGGCGGGCGGCAGCGACGCCACGGAGCACCTGGCGTCGGTGGCCGCCATCTTGACCCTGATGCAGGGCCACCACCAGCCACAGCAACAGCAGCCGCAGCAGCAGCCAGGGCGGAGCGCTGCCGACGTGAGCCCGACGCCGTCCAACATCCCAGCACCGGTGATAACGTCATCACAGGTGGTGGACGTCGACGCCGGCTCCCTGGGCGTGCCTCGTCAGCCCACCCCGGCTCAGCAGCTCTCCAGCAGCCAGCAAGCAGCGGTGCATCATGCGGTGGCGCAAGTGTTGTTTTCCTCCCCTCTCGCCGGCAGCCAAGTAGCTGTCGCGACAGCGGCTACGGATGTAGCCCACCCCAGTCCCGTCTCTGAGCCGTCCCCTGCACTATCGTCGGCGTATTCCAGCAGTGCGAGCCCGTGCGGGTCGCTTGGCCAGCTGGGTCCGTCGTCATCTGCGTCACCAGTCACGAGCGCCCTGCACTCACGAGGCCCTTCTCCACCTCTGCCATCGGCCTCTGTCCCGGTGGCCCGGCGAGTGCCGTCGTGTGCGAATAGCTGTGTGCCGTCTCCGCAGCTCACGACGGAGTGTAGCGTTGCATCCCCGAGACCACCGGTACAGACGGTGCGAATAACGAAGGGCAGCAGTTTTGTGCCGTTGCTGCCGTTATCCGACAGCGAACACCGACCGACGTCCCGATCAAGCAGTGCATCGTCCGTCGACAACACCGAGCGCTGCTCGCCCGAGTTCCGCAGCCCATCGCCCGAACCTATGTCCTCTCCGCCACTGCTGCTGCCCGACAGCGCTCCACCCATGGTGGACGTGGAGGAGACATCGCAAGCGCTTTGGGATGCTGCCCCCAACGATCACGACTATTCCGCTCGCGTCGGTGGTGACAACGATGGCGTTTCGGAAGTCGCATTCGAGTACAACGATGATGGCGGATCCGCTCAGCTTGCGGATAGCAGCGCTCCGCCGCTGGATGTTCAAGTCAGCGATGACAGTCTGTTTGCTCACCTAGCTGATCAGGCTCAGTTCGATACAGCCGCTGCCGGCACGGCTAGCCTACCGTCGGGCACGCGCACCTTTCACATCGACGACTTTCTCGAGAGCAGCAAGTCGGTGTCGGATTTCTCGGCGTTTTTCGACCGCATGCGTGCTGGCACTACGGACGACGCCGATCATTCCGATGCCGTCGCGGGCTTTTGTATTGATCATGATGAGACGGGCCAGCAAGTGGACGATCTTATCGTGGAGCTCAGCGCTGCCTGTTCTGCCGCTACTTCGCCGTCTCGCACGCCACCCAGTGCTTCGCCGACGTCGGAAGGCTTGGCCCAGTCTCCCGCTGAGATCGCTGGTTGCCAGGAGCGGAATGAGACAGTGCACTTGGGCGGAGATGTGTCGGTTTCCACGGATGCCGTACAGTCTCCTGTTTCTGCTGCTGCTGCATCACCAAACCTGGAAAAGATCAATGTTAATTTCGAAGCGTGTGCTACAGATTGTACTACTCCGGAAGACGTCCAGACACCGATGGCAGAAGAGCCATCGTCGGAGGACGATGCAAGCGCAGCATCGCCTCCACCTGAGCCTCAGCCGGCATCGCCTGCCACTACGGTCGAGGCTACCGAAGCTCCTTCCTCTCCGCTCCGCCCAGCCGACACTGAGGTAAAGAGCGTTGGTACCGAGTTCTTGAACGAGCCAAGCGACGCTAATTCACCTGCTTCCGAAGCACTCTGCAGCTCCGATACACCGGTCGATCCAGAAACGCCTGTTGCTTCTGGACAAGGATCGCCTTCGCCCAATGTTGACGCACTGTCGGAGACACGGCACGAGCTGGAAGGGAAGGAGGATGATCTAATGGACAAGGAGGATGAGGAGAAAGAGGATGATCCTTCGGTCAAGGAGGAGGAAGAGAAGGAGGATGACCTTTTGGACAAGGAGGTGGAGGAGATCATCTCTCGCAAGGCCTCACCATCGCGGCACACTGGCCTGCGAGACAGTATCTCGTCCTTGTCGAACGATAGCGTGTTCAGCTCGCCCGGGTTTGCGTCGCCATCCGACGACGGGGCCGTCGCACGAGCGGAGACCGAGAGCCCGGTCAGCATGAACATCGAACTCAAAGAGCCGAAAGACGTCTGCGAAGAGGCCACCGCGGAAGCGGAAGCAGCTCTACCCGTCACACCAACGAGTCGTTCCTCGTCCCGACGCATCAAGAGTAGTCGCTACAGGTCTCGCACCCAAGATCAAGCCACGACGGCTACGGCGGACACCGCACCACCGTCATCCACCGACATGCTATCGGACACCGAGACAACGCCGTCGTCGGTCAAGGAAAAGCCGACAGCCGCTGTCGCCACCGATGGGAAGTCTCTGACTTCTAACGAGGTAAGGTTTCTGCTATCACTGGAACGAAGGAGGACGTTATCGTCTCATCACTATGCTCTTGTTATTCTACTGTATAGCAGGAAATTTTCGGACGGGAATATTTTCGGACCAAGCCGAATTTCGACCTTTCGTACGGATTATATTTTCGTACAGTGCTGCATGCTAAATACACGTGCTTGCAAGCAGAACGCATGTATAGTGTACATAATTTCACATGAACAAATTTGAGCAAAGAATTAATTTTAGTACAAAAGAGGCCGTGTACGAAAATAAATTCCGTCCGAAAATTTCCTGCTATAATACAGTATGTCTGGCTGGGCTGGGTGTAATAGAAGGGTGTTCACACCTTTGTCATGTGACCGGGTTTGTGTATAAAGTCATCCTGGTACAGTAAAACCTGTGACTAACGACCACCGCTTGGGGCCAGAGAAAGCGGTCTTTAGTGGCAGGTGGTCCTTAGTCAGAGGTTTGCACCACAGAACCATAATATGTGAATGTGAGACCGTCCGTCCGTGCATGGCGCAGTGGTGTGTAGTACCAGGCTGGTCGCTAGTCACGGTGGTCTTTAGTTACAGGTTTTACTGTAAATGGACAGTGGAACCAACTGGGGCCGGCATCATACAACCCAATGATGCACAATGTTGACTAGAGGTGGAACGAGCATGGCTGTCCTGTATGGTGAACAGTGTGAACTGTGCGAGTACTAGTCAGGAAAAAAGTCACCATCCACTGGCGGTGACTTTTTCCTGGCTAGTACTCGCACTCACTCGATAAGTTGCCTTGTAGACTAGTGTGTGTGTGTGTGTACGTAAGCTCTGTGATGTGTGTTGGCTCGGCGATGTACGTATTATTCTGTGATGTGTTGTTCCGGTGTGTAGGCATCAGCTCGTATCGACCGCATGATAGATGATTTCATCGACACGGCCACTGTAGTCTGTTGCTCACCTGAGTCACTGCTATTTCAGTTGAGAAGTCTTTCATATATTTGTCCTTTAATACCTGATGACTCTCTCTCTCTCTCTCTCTCTCTCTCTCTCTCTCTCTCTCTCTCTCTCTCTCTCTCTCTCTCTCTCTCTCTCTCTCTCTCTCTCTCTCTCTCTCTCTCTCTCTCTCTCTCTCTCTCTCTCTCTCTCTCTCTCACTCTCTCTTTTTTCTTCTTTTTTTTTTTTTCGATCGATCGATGTCGATCCAGCTTGTTAAATCATGCACCTGCTATCAGGCATAAAAAATGTTGTATAGGTCTCAGTCCTCGTTTCTTCAACTTGCTTGTTCTGTTCAAATGTAAAGTACTCTGTGTCTCTCTCTCCCACTTCTTCTTTCTTGACATTTCATTGGTTTCTGCAGGACGTTTTGCAGGTGGAGTTCCCAGACACACTCGATACTTTGCTTCATCTCGTCTCCTCTGCGCATAACCTCCAGCAGCCCAACAAACTGGTATGTTTGTTGTGTCCAGAAATGATGTCAGTGATGATGTCAGTGCTAGTAATGAATCTACTACTAATGATATAAGTAATGATGTCAATGATGATGTCAGTATACAGTAATGATGTCAGTGATGATATCAGTGATGATGTCTGTAATGATATCAGTGATGGTGTCAGTAATGGTGTGTCCAGGAAAATGCATCTGGCATGCCTGTGTCATGTCCCTGTAGATCTACATGAGTATAACATGACTTTGCAGCTGTAATGTCATTGGTCCTTTTCTTTCTGTTCATGACTGGTCTCTCTCTCTCTCTCTCTCTCTCTCTCTCTCTCTCTCTCTCTCTCTCTCTCTTCTCTCTCTCTCTCTCTCTCTCTCTCTCTCTCTCTCTCTCTCTCTCTCTCTGACTCTCTCTCTCTCTCCTCTCTCACTCACTCACACTCACTCTCTCTCTCTCTCTCTCTCTCACTCACTCACACTCACTCTC